TATATATATATACATATATATATATCTAAAGAAATATTCTAAATAATTTTATGCGTAGAATCCTCGAAAATTATTTCAAGAAATATGAAAAAATGAAAGAAATGAAAAAAATGAACAAAAAATTAAAAAAAATTTTGAATAAGAAACTTTCTTTTCTTTTGACAATGGAAACTTGGGACACTTTCTCACACACACGTATACCAAATATTGATATGGTACCTATAAACTCCAACGAATATTTTAATAAATTCAAAAGAGATAGAAATGACGCGACACATTGCGAAAAAAATGTCTGTGGGAAGAAACGATCTTCTATTATAAATCATAAGGATGATTATGTTAAAGTCCGCTAGGGCCAGCTCATTAGTTCGCGAAATCGTCCAATTTCTCTTTTTATCTCGTCTCTTCCCAAGGCTATCTAGTTGGAAGGGGGGTGATGGGGGGCGAGACGAACGGCGTAGAAAACAATTTGGACGTCCCATTTGAGACCCGGGTAGTGCCTTAATTAGTTCTACCGTAGCAGATTACCAATCAGTAATTCAGCAATTACGATACGGTGATTTTTAAACCTACTGACCATAATATTCGAAATCCTTTAAGTATGATAAAGGGTAGGTTATCGATATACGAAAATGTATTTTTCCGCTTGTTTGACATCGCTTGATCGAAAACGTAGAAAATGTAGAAATATTAATTCCAAAAATTTATTTTTGTTTTTGCTGCATATGTTTTACAATGAAAATTGATAATAAAGCAAAAGAAATAGATATATCTTTTAAAAATATAATTAAATGAAATAAATATTTGTCTATATATAAAACGATATCTTCTTAGAAAATTAATAAAACATAAAACGTAACAATTGTTATCCCTTTTAATTTACTAGCGAGTGTATAATAAAGACTGTATAATAATAATATTACTAACAATAATGTAACTACTTGAGTAATTCGTTAAAATATGGAATTGTCCGAAAAGTGGATCGCTTTCTCAATTCGATACAATTAAAGCGAGAAGTACCTATCTATCCAAGTGGAAACAAGAAAAGGAAGCAACTTATTCAATTTCAGCAAATTTCTCTCTTCCCTTCCCCCCCTTAAGCCAATCCTTCGAAGGAAACTGTTAAATCTATTACGGTTGTAAAGCTCGATCACGATCACGTCCCGTGAAGAGGGTCGAGGATCGAGTCCCAAGCGGCGAGTTGCGTCTTAGTAAGAAGGGGGGTAAAAGGGAGAGACAGAGAAGTGTGTTTTGTAGTTTCGGTGGGCCTGGTCGCAGGTAGGCGGCGAGCGGACCCTGAAATCACTCGAAAAATGAGGGGGTACACAGACCCCCGCAAGATTTCTTTTTTCTTGTTCGAACGCGATATAATCGTTTGTCCTCTCGTAGAGGGTGGACGTGGAAGAATGGCGGTGAAAGGGATGAAAACTGCGTAGCAGTTTGTCTCTCTCCATAACTCTTTCAGTTTGATAATTTCATTCTGTCACGCGCTGATATCCACTGTCGACGTGCATGCGTTAATCCTTTTAATATATCTAAAATTAACATTTATATGCTAATAAAATATTAATTTATAATAATAAATTACATTCTTCATTTATTTATGAAAATGTGGAAATAATTTCTATATTAATATGAAGATCATTCGTATTAACATTAATCGTGCCTTTATTTTTTAAATGTTTTTTACGACCCTCGCACCGGAATGTTAGATATCCGGGTTCGACTTCCGGCCGAGGTAATATTTTTCGCAATAAATTTATTACCGATTTTCAGTACATTAACATCGAATTCTATGATAGAATGCTATAATCTCTATAATAGAAACCTGATCAAATTAAGCTATAACAGAATGCTTGATCAAATTATTAAATTGCTTGTCAATTTAATTTGTAATATTACTATAGTCAGTTGCGTTTTTAAGGTCCGATTGCACCAATATTAGTTTGACTTTAAGCGGAGCTTAACATTCTCTCTTTCTTTTTTTAAAGCCGATGGAGAGACAGAAAGAGAGAGTTTTAAACCTCGTTTAAAATTAAAGTAACGTTGGTGCAATCGGGCCGAAGTCCAAAAAATCAATTCGGCGCGCAGTTCACATGACTACACAGTTCCACACATATATGTAATATATAAATTCACATGAAAATTTTTTAAATATCTAAGATCCATCTTTGATTGTTATAGGTTTTAACTCTTACTTGTAGTATATTCACTTGATACAGTCTTAATAAATTGTTTATTTATTGTTAATGCTTTCTTTCGTACTTATTTCTTGTACACAAATGCATACACATACACACACACATCCACAACTAATCAAGTTATTATGAAGTTATTTTTTTACCAAATTATACTGATAATATGTGTTAGACAATATTAAATCTAAATAAGACTTTCAAAACTAAAATGAAACTTTAATTTGAGTTTTCGATAATGTCAAAAAGATCTATAGTTTTAATTGTAAAACTTTACAACATTTTACGAGAACGAGCAAAGTGTAATGTAAGTAAAGCGGAAGATTCAAGATAAAGTAACAAGTCAGAAGAACAGACTTTATGAAAGCCCTTATCTGTAGAATATTCATCTCCTTGAAAAAGATGAATCGCTAAGACGAAGATGCTTGATACATTTCGTGGAAACACGTTATCGGAATATTAACGTATCTCTTCAAATATAGATACAAAGAAAGAGATGGTACTTTGGATAAATATAAATAAGGACACAGAGAACATTTTTTATTCATCAGTATTACGTATAATTATCGAATTTAAAAAGGGGATCTTTTAACACACATAATTTGTGATAAAATAATCCCTGCAATCTTATTTTCTTGTTTAATCAGGATCTACAACTCCTTGTCGTTTTCTTAAATCACTCAGGAATCAAAGAGTACATTTTTTACAACTAATTTTACTTTATCTTAAGTATCTTAAGATTCTTAAGAAAGGAGATCTTTAATTACGTATGAAATACATATGTATATTATATATATAAATTTGTTCACATATTTATTATGTTATCATACAATCTTAAACGAATTGCTATTTACATAGTACAGTTAAAACGAGAATCTAGATCTATAGATCTTTTCAGGATTTTTACACTCGTACAATGTCTCTACTTATTCCTAAGAATACATCATAAAAATCATTATCAACATGCGAGGAGAATTAAAAGGATAAAAAGTGAAAAATAGAAAGTGGATAATATCTCTTCTAATTGATTAGAGAAAGTCAGTCTCGAATCGCTAAAATGTGCAGATCAGTTCCATCTCTGTACAAATCAGTTCTATCTCCGAGTGCTAATCTTAGCGAGCTGTCTATAATAAAAGCTTCGAATATCGAGTTATTTTTACTTGACGAGTATTATATTATCTTTCTCTTTATGTACGTTAAATGGGCCTTTGAAAAATTTTTTGAGGAAAGTTCTTAAAAATTAATATCTTTGATGATTTGTTAAATTTCACACAGTCGCTGGAAGCTGTCTGTTGCTGTCGTTGCTATTCATCGCGGTCATTTCTACCTGACCTGAAGTCTTTGACGTTTTATCTATTGCGTCTGTTTCTTGAATCTTCTCTAGATCGACGTAATATACGTACCACGCGGCGTAGCAGAGCACCATCATCTCGATTAGCATCAGCGCGTTGCACGTCACTAAAATCGAGAAGAGGAATTATATGAAGCGAATTATTATCACTTGCATTACATTTAAATTAACCTATTTAATGAAAGAATTTATTACCATTGTGAAACATTTAAAAAAATGTATATTAACTTTAACTATATTTTAAGTATCTATTTATATTGTTCCAAAATATATATTAAAAAGGATAATGCATTTATAAAATAGTTTAAAAATATGTTCTGTCGAGACTTGAAAGTTATTTTAGCGGAATTAATAATAAATTAAGCGGAATCATAATAATTGTATTAATATTAAGTATAAAATATTAATATATAATAAAATGTAAAATATTCTGCAACACTAATATATAAAAGTGGTCTTTTTTGACAACCATATGCTGTCTCATGTTAGTTTGGGAAATTTATTCATAACACGTAACCAGTAAATTGTTATGGTACTCACGGATGCTGCGTGACGTCTCTTTTTTCAGTGAAACGAGTTTTTTTGTTATAGTTAGTCGTAGGAGCAGTGAAAAGTACAGACGTATTCTAAATTTAGAGTTGAATGCTCATGCTGTTTAAAGAAACTACTGGACCATAAAATCGTTCTTTTATCGGTCTCTCAGAACATGGTATAATGTAAATTAAATACTAAACAGTCGACAATATATAAGTAACATAATTATACAATTCCAGCAACTTATTTCTATACTCCAAATAAAGATATTAAAAACTTATTAATTGTCCGTTTTATCATACACATACAGTTAATATGATCATTAAATTTTATCATTTTAATGAAATATTAAAATTATAAGTAAATAAATATATAACAAATAAGAATATTAAAACCTATAACGATTGAAGCTAGATCTTTAATGTTTTAAATAATTCAATGTGAATTATTTATACTATTTATATATGCATGTATATACTATATATACATACATGCATATATACCATATTTGTAGTCATTTGAACTGCGCATCAAATTAGTTTTCCGGACTTATAAACATAATTAAACTACTGTAATAATATCACAAATTAAATTAAATTAACAATTTTAATATAATTTGATGCTCAGTCCGGTATCATATTAGAAAGACGTTAATATGCTGAAAAATTGTTAATAAATTTATTGCAAAGAATATTACTTATAGTGTATATATATAATTCACGTTGAATTATTTAATAAAGCATTAAAGATTCAGCTTTGACTGTTATAAGATTTAATATTCTTACTTGTGTATTCATATTACGATCTTAATAAACCATTTATTATTATAAATAAATATTATTGATTATACACGTTGCCTGCAAAAAAGCGTTATTGTTCTTACATATACTGATTATTGTGAAGAATATTACTAAGGCCTCGGTGGTCTAATGGCTTAGGACGCTCATACGGAATACAAGAGATCCGGGTTCAAGTCCCGGCCGAGGTAATATTTTTCGCAATAAATTTATTTAAGGTTTTCAGCACATTGTCAATTTAATTTAACTTGTGATATTATTGCAGTAGTTTAATTGCATTAGATAAAGTCCGAAAAAATTTCGGCGCGCAGTTTGAATAACTACAAAAATATGATATATATGCATGTACATATATGTATAGATAATTCACTAGGAATTATTTAGGTAAAAAAGATCTAGCTTTGACCGTCATAGGCCTGAATACGCTTAGTGTAAATAAATATATGTTTAAAAAAATTATTTGATTTGCACCTTATAAGATTTTATAAGCAATCTAGAACAGTTATTTATTACGATACTGTATAAGTTAATTAAATAAATAAATAAATATGTAATTAAATACAAATAGATAAATTAGATAACATTTACAATATCTATTTTATCATATAGATATTTTTAATAATAATGTAATAGCAAAATCTCTCAGTTTTGGAAGCTTGCAATATTTATAATTGTATTTATAATTTTTAATATCTTCTTTAATTAGTCTTAATCGTTGACTTTAGATAAAGTGAAAATATATAAAAAATAAACGGACGCAAGTAAATTATAGCATATATATTTATATTACCGTTGGCGTAAATTGCCGGAGTGAGAGGAGGATTGCACGGAAATACGCCTGCGGCGGGCAAGGTTTTGATAATACCTGTCTGCAGCTTCGAGAACAACAGTACTAATTGTAACACCAGTGTTTTATAATGTAATTTGACCTCTGAAACAAAAACAAATAATATCGATCAGAAACTTTCATTCCTATTAATATCATATGAACAGCAGCAACATATGCATGGGCTTCTCGAAAAATTACTTCATACAATATTCATATGATCATTTTAGTAAAATTATTGTTTGACTTATAAATATTGGACTTACAAAGTGATAAATTTCTCTTGACAGAAATGTGCAAATTGTGATTAAGATGTGTAGAAAGTTTCTCGGTTAAAAAGAATTAATACTAATTGAACTCATCACCGCGTAAAAGTGAAATTGAATTAAAAGTATCACATCTGATACATATAATGTAAAGTTAAAATAAAATTTAAATTATTATAAAATATAAACTAGGAATGAAATATATATAAAAGAATTGTTTTTTCTCAGAGAGAGAGAGAGTTTAAACATTTTTCCATTACAATAAATATATTGCAACAAATAAAATGATTGTATTGTGATAAATAAAAAATTTTGTTCCACTAATATGCGAACATTCTTATATTTTTAACATTATTAGCAATTTTTTTAAGAAAAAAATAAAATACTAATTAATCATATGTTGTAGAAAGCCGTAGATATTGAAGAAGACTAGTATACTGTGAATAAATTTTCTACTAAATGTTTGGCAAAAGAACGTTTAATAAATAATCTCACTCATTACCTGGAACTGCTGTATGCAAAGTCTTTGTGGTGATAGTTAAACTATATATCCCTAGAAGTATGCTGATAACCACGACTGGCTGAAGAAACGTGACGTATTGCGTGGTAAGCATTGGATCCTCGGCTTCCATGTAGAGCAATATGAAATACACAAGACCCTGAAAATGTAATTCTTTTTATATTAAACTTTCAAAGATATTTTATATTTTTTAATCAATCCCGTTCATCTTTTAAACAATAGAAGAAAACACGGGCAATTAAGAGCCTAAACTCGCAGTAATTGGAGCAATTATATAAACATATATTTCTCTATATATATATCAAGATACGAGTGCAGCAAGTGAGTCTTCCAAATTACCAAATTGGAAGTATGCAATCCTCATTTAGCTATTCGACTAAGTGCGAGCTACTGTAACTGCACATTTATTTGTTTAAATATGCAGTTATGGAGTACAGTAGCTCGCACTTAGTCGAACAGCTAAACGATGGTTGCATACTTCCAATTTGGTAATTTGGAAGACTCACTTGCTGCACTGTATTACTTTATTGGCTACTACCTGAAATGTACTAAAGAAGTATCATACTAGACTACTAAGATGTCTTGAAGTATTAATCAAGATATTTTATTATACTACACTGCTGAAGATGGCTTGAATTAAGCCGAAACGTTCGGTATTTTTGATATATATGTAGCACTGAGAAATATATGTTTATATATCGCTCCAATTACTGCGAGTTTAGGCTCTTAATTGCCCGTGTTTACTTCTATTGTTTAAGTTTTATCTTAAGAGCCCGATTTTTATTTTTCTTTTTAAAAATATTTTAATATTTTGAGTATTTGTTATTTTTGAAATTTTGCAAAATGGTTTATTCAATTTTAAAATATTTTTTTCTGAAAAATATTAATTTTTTTTTTAAATTCATATAGAGAAATATTTATTTGATTTATTGTTAGTTTTTGAAGTACACATTATATGATGGAGATTTTTCTGTATAAAAGGAAAGTCTCAATTTTTCTATTAAAAATTCTATTAAAAATCTTATTTAAAAAGATTATAAATATTCTAAAAGTAGATTAAAAGAGAGATAATTAAACTAAGAAAATCAGTCTACTCCACTATATCAGAAGTTGTATTTGCTTCAAGTGAGAGCAGAAGACAAAATTAAAGCAAAGACAAAATTAAATTAGTGTAATTAGTTTTAATCAGTTTAGATATAATTATGTAGCCAAAAAAGTAAATAGCATAAGTATGGCTATGTTTGAATTGTTCTCTACATTGTGAAAATTTAAATTAATTCTATATGATAGACAACAATTGCTTCTTATAAGTTTTAATTATAAATTTTAATCAACTTGCATAGAATTAGGTATAAAAGTTATTTAGCGTGAGGAAAGTGATAATCAAAGTGTGAACAAGAGGGGGAGGGAGATCTTTTTTTTACCTGGACGATAGGAAGCTGTAGGGCCAGAATTCCTATCCAAGACAAATTAGCGTCGGTCATTTGAAGGTTTGGAAAGGGCAGACAGGGCCAGCAGCAACAGGGCCCGACTCGTAACATCAACGCTGGCGTCTCGCTGATCTTCCGGCGACCGACATCCAGTAGAAGAAGATAGAGCCGATACAGCGAAATCATTAAGAAAATTTGAGTTACAGCCTCCGATAGTAACTGGCCTCTGTCGAAAGTCAAACAAACGTCATTTCTCCAACAAGTTTTGCTAAACGAGCGTAGAGTGATGATTCCGGGGAAATTATCATTATCAATAAATTGAAATTTTTGTAAATAATAAAATTTAGAAACATTAATAAAATCTACTTTTATCGGTTTTTTCAATCTTATAATTAGTTGTAAACACAACATAGGATATTATTATTTAATGATGTACACAATATAAATTGATGAAAGCGCAGACGAAAGAAGATTTGAATAAAACTCTTATGCAACTATGCAAGTGATAACTTTTTAAACGAGTCACTAAATCAATGTTTGAAATGTATGAAACATAGAGGATTATAAACACTTTATTTCAAAAGGTAGTATCGTTAACAATGCAATCATTATTCATACAGTTATCAGATGATATGAAATAGTTATGCGTCAAATTGATAATGTAAGTACATTCTAAAATGTATTGTGTTCATTTTATTCTTCCTTTTTTTCATATTTCTTAAAATGTCATTTGTATAGAATAATTTTTGTAGAAAGAAAAAGAGTTATTTAGTTAAATATTATCAAGTAATATTTTAAAGTTATTTATTCAAATATTTACTGAAATATATATTTATTTAGATAATAAAATTCCTTAAATTTTACTTTTTTATTTTTAATCATGTGTTAAGAAAATATTTTTTTAAGAATTTTTATTTTATTACGGAGAATAACAAGCTTATACATTAAATTTTATGATAAAATATTTTGTTTGGTAATCATTTTTATATATATGTATAAATTACTAATAAAATATTTTATCATTAAATTTTAATATATAAGCTTGTTATTCTTATTGTATATATAGAGTCCTATTTTAAATTACAGATCTAAGGCGAATTTAATGCATGAAGTGAAAATAGAAACGGTACAATGCTTATGTTCTTATTTTACACTTAACTGGCAAGTTTCTCTCATTATTTCGATATCGTTAAATAATCGCAATAGGCCTTTACTTTTTACCTTGGTATCGCAATCGCCATGAGGCTGCAAACGCTTATGATAGGATATACCGATAGGATTATAATGGCATTTGTTTTATAAGATTCCGAATCTTTTTGAGAGAGGATATTGCGACAAGCACTGGCAAAGAAGTATATTGTGAGGACCAAAATGATTGAACCGACGCTTAATAGTACAGTACCCAATGCATTTAAACCTGCAAAAAGAAACAACAATTTAAAAAATTAATCATTAACAAAAGTTTTTAATACAATTTTGTAAGAACAATTGTTCCTTTTTTTATTTTTTTATTTAATTTAGTTTCGTTTTTCTATTTTTATTTTTAAAATAAACAATAGTTTGAAATGGTTATCGCTCCTAAATTTATTTTTTATTTATAAATTAATGATGTATATGGATACATAATATTTATAAAATTTATAAAGAAATTAATATATGTTTTTTCAATTATGATAAAATTATTTTTTTTAATTTTGATTTTGTTGAGAATAAAAATAAACATTCTGAATATCGAGATCTAGATATAAAATATTCTAACGTCAGTATATAATTTCTTTATAAATTATTTGATAATATACGCTTCCAACGTATTAAAAGTCATTATCGTTATTTTTAATTTATTTTATCAGTAAATACTGATGATGAAGCTAATAAAGATAAAGTTTAAATTCTAATATAATTAAGGTTTTATTAATATTGTGAATTAGAAAGCCAATGTGAGTCAAGACGCTGTACAAATAACTTACTGCAGATTGAGAACAGTTTATTACATAACAACAATAAAAATAAAAACAGCTACAAGCCAAGAAACATAATAAAGTAAGTAAAAGCTTAAAATAAACACATGTAGTAGCTAGCAAAATAAATATATTTCAAAATTAATACTAACAATAATGCCTAACAAAAATACCTAACGATCGTTTCAACCGTATTTCGGTCATTTTCAAAGTATAAACTAAAACCGGAAGACAAATAAAATCGCACGTGTATTAATCATATAAATGGTAATGAGTTAAACAAATATAATAAAAACCACTATAGTCAAAACATGCTCAATCCAATAATCCTCCATCTTCACCGTTGTTCCTTAATGATCATAAAAATTGCCCTTAATGGTCATAGTCCTTAAATAACATTGTAATTGATCTACGCTATACTATTGATCATTGTCTTGTTGTCGTCTGTACGGTTCACATCTTTCCGCAAAGTGTGCTTGATGTCAATGTGCTTATTACTTACGGTATCTTCTTGATACATTCAATCGACTTATTTATAATTTTTTATTTCTGACCAAAACATGATATTATGTGACTAAGCATCCATTTTGAAGAATTTATCTTTACGCATTAGGAGGTTTTGACGGCTTACTGCTTACGTGTTTAAACCGAATTATGAAGATTACCGACATTACTGTATAAGGACTTGGACTTGCTTGAAGATTTTTGCGTCTCTAACCGGATTGCGTAGATCAATTACAATGTTATTTAAGAACTATGACCATTAAGGGCAATTTTTATGATCATTAAGGAACAACGGTGAAGATGGAGGATTATTGGATTGAGCATGTTTTGACTATAGTGGTTTTTATTATATTTGTTTAACTCATTACCATTTATATGATTAATACACGTGCGATTTTATTTGTCTTCCGGTTTTAGTTTATACTTTGAAAATGACCGAAATACGGTTGAAACGATCGTTAACGAAGGTATTTTTGTTAGGCATTATTGTTAGTAACTAAACTAAATTTTAATTTTGAAATATATTTATTTTGCTAGCTACTACATGTGTTTTATTTTAAGCTTTTACTTACTTTATGATGTTTCTTGGCTTGTAGCTGTTCTTATTTTTATTGTTGTTATTTATATTGAGCCATTCTTCATTACATATATGTTTATTACATAACATTTTCAAGTCGATACGTTTCTAATTTTAATTTATATTATCAATTTCAATAACACATTAATTTTTATAGTGTTATCTCGTATCTATCTAAAAAAAAATTGTATAAGATAAAACCAGTTATCTAAAAAATTCTTAAGATTTACACTAAAAAAACAAAACTCAAAGAAGTCCTAAGATTTATATCAGGAAAACAATTATCTAAAGGAAATTATTTAAGGAATGTTGAAAGATGTCTAAAGATAATTTGACATCCCAGTAAGCAAGAAATATTTCGGAACATTTCAATAACATTGTAGCAATGTTATAACGTTGCTACAATGTTGTTGAAATTTTTCGAAATGTCTCTTGCTTACTGGGATCATATCATATACAATATTTTATGCCAAAATGAAAGATTTGTATTTAAATGAAAATATATTTATATTTATCTCATATAGAGATAAATAAAAAGTTATATTGGTTATATACTCTAAACAAACAAAGAAACGCACGTATGTATAAAAAGATAGTCGCATAATATTAATAACGATATTGTTTAGATTACGTCGTTCGAAAGAAAGATGTTGTTTTCTTAGTGTACCGATTATTGTGCGAAGAATATTACTAAGGCCTCGGTGATCTAATGGCTTAGGAGGCTCATACGGAATACAAGAGATCCGGGTTCAAATCCCGGTCGAGGTAATATTTTTCGCAATAAATTTATTAACAGTTTTAACATATTAACATCTTTATAATATATGATGCTTGATGGTAGCATCAAATTATTAAATTGTTTGTCAATTTAATTCGCGATATATTACTAGAGTAGTTTTAATTGCGTTTATTTAGTCCGGAAAAATAATTCGGCGCGTAGTTTGAAAAAGACTACAATATGGTATATATGCACAAGTACATATTTAGTATATATTACTAATTCAAGATTGAATTATTTAAGCAACGAAGATTTAGCTTCGACCGTAATAGGTGTTTTTAAATTTCTAGTATTGATTGTGTTTCTCACATATATACGGTCTAAAATAAAGATATTGCATAATATTAGATTTGCAAATCACGGTGCTTATCAAAAATAATATTTTTAAACTATTTGTTCAATAACGTTTATAATTATAATAACATAAATTATATAATTGCTTGCAAATTATATAATTGTATAATTCGCGTAATGTTAAACATTCACGTAATTCATAAAAGTAATTATTCAAATTATCTTATACCTTGAAGAATGTATTAATTTTATCTACATATATTGTTTAAATTTTATATAATATTTATGTTTCTTATATGAATATTACAGTTGTTTATCTTGATAGAATATTTTTATAATCAAAAGGAACAAAAGATCTTTGATATTTTCTAATATTTTCTTCTAAATCTAGAAATATTTCCGATAAGATAGCTCATGTATGCACTTAAGAATAACAAGTACTCACTGAGAGAAAAATGTTTGGTATTTGTACCTATAATTACATTACCATATCTTTTATGGTTGTCTCAAAATATAACTATAAAATTATAGTTATTTGAATCATTTTTATAGTAATTTCAACTATTTTATGGTTATAATAACTATAATTATATATATATATATATATATATATATATAGTGTCATTGTAAGTTGTCAACTATATATATTTGTTGCTAGAACTATACACATAGTTACTGTTATTATTATTATAGCAGTAATAATCATAATTATAGTAATATATAATTATAGTTATAAATACAAAACATTTTTCTCTCAGTGCTCTTCGTATAAGTTACGTCCGAAGATTTTCGAGGATGTTCAATTCGCACGAATAAGGTCTCATGTACCAAGCGAACTTGAGTCCAACTTTCACCGATGCGTTTACATCGCTCAACGCAAACATACCTACATTATATGCATCGCGATAAATTTACTTTCGTAAAAAAGAACGACTACGAATTAATATATTTCTACATATGTAAACACAAAATATATGCACTAAAATATTGCATTCTTATTATATGAGAATTATTTTACTCGAAATTTCAAAACAGGAGAGGCACATGATACCGACTTAAATGTATTTCTATTACGCGATTTCTGTTGCACCAATTCGGAATACCTGCTTTAGATATACGTAACTCACTTTCTACTATCATTATATCCACAATGGTATCTTGAGCGAGTTTGAATCTTCAATACTATTTAGTACAACGCAAATAAATTACAAATTATATTTTTTAAATAAAGGAATCGATAACAAAATTATTTGAGTCATCACAGCGTGTATATAAACTTTAATAATGATCGCGGAACTATTTATATTATTTAATCGATTTGCTTTATTCTTATAATACCTTTGAAATTATAATTTTTTAATTTAATAAGCTATTAATCGTTTTATTACATAATTACTATAGGTGACATACAAACTTAATTATAAGTCTGCTAAATATTATTAGTAAGAAATTATTATTACATTGAAATTATTGATTTTATGATGGAAAGTTTTTCTTTAGTTTAAGAATATTGATTATTCTATCTAACCGTGTTAATTTTTTCTATTTTTCTTATATACGAGTTATCATTTCGGAAATATTTCTAGATTTAGAAGAAAATATTAGGAAGCATCAAAGATCTTTTATGTGTGTGCTCTTTTGATTATAAAAATATTCTATTAAGATAAACAACTATTATATAATATTCATACAAGAAACATAAATATTATATAAAATTTAAATAATATATGTAGATAAAATTAATACCTTTAATTTAATACCTCTTCGAGGTATAAGATAATTTGCAAAAAAATATCCCAATTTTATTCAGGTTTTATTTACCGCACCGGCGGAATTTATCGCACTGTTATCCGGATATTGTCAAGACTCACTTTCTACGAGTTCGATAGCGGAAGGCACATAATTTGGGTTGCAGCTAACATCCGCATGGACGGTGAAGTTCTCTACGGAATTGTCCATGATTGCAAATGCTCTACTGAATTTGACGAAAGAGAATTGTCGTCTCACAGCACTCTGTCGTCCGTTACTCGCGAGTTTGACAAACTGAAGTGACACGCTCGCGAAGTAGTCTCACAGGTGAATTCGTGGGAAAGAGACAGTCGCGGCTGCATGTGAACAGTGGGAGTGAGTCCCCACTTTTACTTGCACTGCCACTGGATTGCGATGTTGTAATGAATTATCACTTGGAAAAATGTATACACTCGTGCGCGCGCGCGAGAGAGAGAGAGAAAGAGAGAGAAAGAGAGAGCAAATAACTGTAAAAAATTTCCTTTCCTTCAACTTTCTCTCTTTCTTGCAATTGTTTTTTACACATTTTCGTACATAAATACTTATTAAATAATATATAATTTATCGATTTTCTTAACACACTCTATATGTAAATAGAACAAGTGAAAATAATATATAAAATATTTCATTACAAATTAATATTTCAAAATTTAAATAAAGTGGAATTATAAATATTACCAATAATTAGAGAAAGAAATAAAAATTTATTGAAATTATGGAGATGATTAGAATTGTTAGTATCAATAAGATTGTTTCAAAATCATTAGAGTTATTAGATTTGTTGAAAAATTATTAGAAATATTGTTGTTTTTTTAAATTATGGAACTTTTAAATTTTGAATATTTGTAAAAGAAGAATTTGCATGAAGAACTAAAAGCAGAGAAGAAATTACGCGAAAGAATGAAAATTTTATGTTAAACTCAGAGCGTATTTTTTACAATTAACAATGTAGTAATCCTTGCCACTTTGCACAAAGTTTACATTTTCTTATATTATGTTTTTGCATATTACAACCTTGATCCGCGTAATAGTACTAATGTAGAACAGATCTTGATTATGTAAAATGTACATAGTATACATCTCATATAATTTGATCATTTTGATGCTTATTTTTATTGATTTAAATGATTTTATGATGGCGCACATATATGATTGAGTTATTAAAATGTAATTTTTTATATATATAAGTTTATTACTATTTGTATAAGCTTATATTTAGGATTTTAATTTTTGTTGACTTGAATTGTATGAAAAAAAATGTACATACATATTACATGCTCTTTGATCACAGATATATTCTATATACAGGGTGTCCTGAACTTTTTTGCCAATCATTTTTGTGTAGATATAGAGTGGACTATACTGAGTCGAAAAGTCGAAAAGTCGAAAAGTCGAAGAGTCGAAAAAGAAAGAAATAAATTCGTCTTCCTATTAGCTATATAATATAAATGTTGTGGCGCTAAATTATTATTAAGGAAATTCTTTACAATTATTTGCTTTCTCTCTCTCTCTCTTGCGCGCACGTGTGTATACATTTTTGCAAGTGATAATTCATTACAATGTTTAGTGAACTTAATTCTTATCTTATTTTTGATGATATTTTTGTGGTGTCTGATCCAATGTTTCATCAAGTTAACAGCGATAATACCAAACATAAATCGTATAAAATTAAAGAACGATGAAAAATGATGATCTTAACGCATTTTGCAGTCAGCGTAAATTCTAAACAATAATAATGTAACCTTACGGACTCTCCCAAATTCAACATCAAAAAACTCCAACAAAATTAATACGCAATCTTAAATCCAAAAATAGGATCTTTATTCCAAAAAATAGGTACGTTTCAATTCACTTTGGAATCAATTTGTTTTGCTGACGATGGTTCCAAAGTGAACTGAAACGTACCTATTTTTTTGGAATAAAAATTCTATTTTTGGATTGAGGATTTAAGATTGCGTATTAATTACCACGCTGACTCTCATTCGCCCTGTTTTGTTGGAGCTTTTTGATATTTAATTAATTATTATCCTGATTTCCCCAAAGTTTGTGAATACAATTTCATTTATTAAAAATGGCTATGTGGGGTAGATTGACCAAAATGAGCCGAGGTTAGCACAATTAATTTTAATAACTTTAGAGAACACATTTTTAGAGAATATACTTACAAATATATTTCATATAGATATATATATTTTTTAATTTTTCATATAAAAACTATACAAAACCAAATTAAGTATTCTATGATTAAAATAACTATTTTATTCGAATTAATATCATATAATTACTATTATTTCTCAAAATACTGATATTAAAATAAAAATTGTATTTTTTATATGTCCATAACAAATATGCTACTGCCAATCCTAGAACGTGTGACAATCAATCCTAACCCAGTGAGAAATGACAACGAAATCGATGTCGATTCGGCATTGATTCGACGTCGATTTGATGATTTCGACGTTGAATCGACGTCGATTCAATGTCGATTCCATTATCATTTTTCGCTGGGAAACACGGGTTAATTGTCACATTTTCGCAGCTTCATTTAAAATTAAATAACTTACAATATAATGAATTCACGAGTAATATTTCTTTTAATATCTAAAGAATGTGTAGGTATATTAAATATAACGTACATAATATTTCAAAATCAGGCATCCACTTTTTTCTAAAAAAAATCGCTAATCAAAAACTGTAACAATCGGCCCCGGTCTCCCCTACATTAGAATACACTTATTCAATCGCGCGAAGAATAATACACGAATAATGATATCTTCAGTTAAGTGATTTGACTACAATACACAGGAAATTGGAATAATTAAGCTGCGCAATCTATTATTGTTTTTGCTAGAAATGCTAATTAACTTAATTAGCATATATGTTAGCATTGAGCTGTTACTTTACATTCTTATGTGATAACATAATTTTAAAATAAAAAATTTGTTTATAACTTCGTCTTATTTTACTTTAATTTTGTTATGCGTGTGTAAATTCTATACTAAATTATTATATTCATAATGTTTTATAAGATCAGTTATGAGTTTTCAAAATTTTTTCTTTTTCAATCGTTATCAATTGAAAATTTATATTGTGGTATTTTCTGACTTACCGTTAGTAACTCATACTGGTAGCGGTATTCATTGGTCTAAAGTCTGAAAGAAAGCGCGTTGATTTCTACGTATCTTCGAACGATATCCATTACCGACTGTCGCTGAACCATAAATACAAAAATGTGAATAAATGTATTGAACAAATTACAGTCCTATGATTATATCTATTATTTAAATATTATAGATATTTATATAAATGAAAGTAAGATTTTCTTAGTTTATGTATACAATACGTTTACTTTTACCTATTAATAATGTGTAACGAAATATGATTCTATTTTAGTTTGCGATTTAAATTACTGACTTGAGGGGAAGAAAAATTTAAGAATTTAAACTTAAATAAGCGGGATAAGATTTTCTCTCTTTCTAATTTCAAATCAATAATTTCTTAACGGATTATAAGGAATTGAATTTTGTAGATTTTGTGAAAATGTAAAGTAGTTTTATATGAAGGTTTAATGTAACTTTATCTTGATAAGAAATATATATTTGCAGATATTTTTATAAAAATTATTGCATATCGTTTTATTTATGATATATAAAATATGTATGTATAAATGCTAGTTTTTTTAATGTAATTTTTTTACTTTACATTTTTGAATATATTGAATACAAAAATGACTATATTTATGGAATTCTCGAATTTATACGTTTTTTTTGTAGGTACCGTTATTCATGAAAGACGTATCGAAATATTAAACGGAAAACTTTCGACACGTCCGATTTGAAGAATTTACATTACATATTTGCAATACGTTATCACAACATGCAGATAGCATGAAAAATTTCGGCAGGTCGCCGCAGCGCGATTGGGAGAAAAATTGGAAACCGGAGAAATGATTGATGGCCTGTTCGATGCTGGAGTTTCGTTTCATATCCGGTTCGTTAATATTTTTTCTTCTCTTTTTCACAGCCCCGAAATACCATAGTTAAAACCTGACGTCATATGTTTTAATTAAGTAAAAATTTAATTAATAAATTATTTAATATTTAATAATCACATTAACAAAATAAAATTAAAAAATATCTTTTAATTTAAGTATTTATTAATTTCAATAATGGAATAATATAAGAACTGAATTAAGTGAGATATATTTTTTAATTAATAATTATACATACATCTCTAAATTATAAGCTACAGAATCAAATATAATTTTTTATTAAATTCTTTTATCATATGTACATATGAAATACTCTTAAATTATTTAGCTTAAATATAACTTAAAAAAAAGAAAAACATATGCATTGTTTTTTTATATATGTATATAGGAATAGATTACAAGATAGCTGATCCTTTTTCTTGTTAATATATATAAAAGAGTTTGTAATCCTGTGAAATGATAACTAATTCATAATCGCGAAAAACGATTTCTCCGAATTTAATTGATTCGCTAGCCACGTTCTTTTTTCGGTTTTCTGATTATCGTTTGATGACGAGATGGAATATCCTTCTTAAAGACTAATATCGACTAAGTCTCATCTCACCAGGGGAGAAGCTTGATAAATGCTTTCCTATAAAAAGAAAAAGAGGTAAATGCGACAGCGGTTTAAACTAATTTCCACGCGGTTTTCTACCAACCGGATTAACTATTGTGTACCACCAAAATGACGTGAATGATATTATAGGTATAGAATATTAGCGGAAAGGGGTGAAATGGAAGGGGCAGTAAGAGCGATCGATTGAAGGACTTGAAATATCGGATAGATGAATCTCGAAAACCCGAGCTCGAAGAAGTTCTTTCTGAGACGAAGAACCTTTCGAGGTTCGTATGTGTGACCTTGAGTTGATGAAGAAGATAGGACGGAAGGGGTCGATTCCTTGTGCAGATTAAGCGCGTGCATGCGAAACTGCTTTCTCTGCTGGCAGTGCTGTTCGTGAGCTTTTTAAAGGTTGAAGGGTCTGCTCGCAAAATTGACTTCATTAATGCATATTGATATTGACATGGCAAACTTTATTCCGGTAAAGATTTAGGTATACGACTCATTTACTCTGCATTATTGAAAAATACATATGTATTCTACATACGATAAAAATTACTTACAATGTACAATTTTATGTCTATGTTAATGATGTATTCATTAAAAATAAATTTTAGCAGATATCACGTCAAAGACTTGCAATTTTATTTATCATTAGAGATTAATATTCTTTTATATATTAAGATAATATATTATAATTATTGAT